ATAGTGGCACATGAACGTCTCAGATAAAACAGGTGCTGGCCAATGGAGCTGAACTGATAATGTGGATGCAGGCGACGTCTCACCTATGCTCAAAGGAACGTCATCCTCTAATGTTCTTTCAGCCATTGCTGAGTTCAGTTTTCTATGTCTGCCTGATTTCTGCCAGCTAGCAAAGTATTTGTATATGTCCATGTGATATCTAAACTGCTTTCATCAGCATAACATCAGAGAAGCAAATACTAAGCGCGCATTGTTCTAACAAAGGAGGGTTATAGATTTCAAATAAACAACATTTTTATTTATTTATTTTTCTTATTTGTTTTTTATTTATGCTATGCCTTTATATATTTTTCTTTTTGCAAACTGGGATTTTGCTGACTTCATTAGGCAATTCATTTTTATGCCTTGCACGGCAAAAAATAAATAAAAAAGAAGAAAAAGAAAGATGGGATTTCATTCAGCAGTGACGAATGGGATCAGTTACTGACAATCCTTGCAAGCTACTGTATCTGCATGAAAAACTACTGCTTGCTTGATTATTAATGTCATAGCTTCAGGCTACAGAATATTGCTTTAACGTCTTCATTTCTTTCTTAAACAGTGATAGCCATGCAGTAAAACAAAGGTCTATTAATTCATGATGAAGTCAGAGATGAGATTCCTGAATGGAAGCCTTTGGTAATTGGACAATTATAGCTCCTAAGCACCCTGGGTCGCCTGAACCGTAAATACTCTACATTAGTGATAGATCAATGCTATAGGCTTATATATCTGCTGATATAGGCCATCTGGACATTATCAGCATTATCCAGAATCTACCTACAGCCAAGTCAATGAATTTTATTATTGTATCTATCTATCTATCTATCTATCTATACATATATATATATATATACACATATATATATATATATATATATATATATATATATAGTAATTTGTATTTGTGTATATATACATTATATGCTGGAATGATATTAGCCTTTAGTTATCAGTATTGTCATAAACATCATCCTTTTGAAAAACCCTAAATGTACTCTCTACTATTCAGTGAAAATGATGCTTGTTATGTTTTTAATGTTTTGTAACAGTTTGAGGCATCATGTCCTGATGGTCTATGTCCAGGATGGAGTGTCATCCTGAAAGGAGAGACCCCAGCAGAAGCCAGCAAGTAAGTCTTCAATCCCTCTCCAGCTAACAGGGAACGTTCCCAGAACTTCAGCTAACGTTCTGGCAAGCTTCTCTCAAAAAAAAAACACTAATGCTAATAGAATGTTTCTTCAGAGCTATCTGGTTTTTAATACAATTCTGAAACGTTAGCACAAAAACATTTATACATCATTTATAGAAAGTTTTTCTGAAGTATGTTATTGTCTAGTCATTACTACTTAATAGTTTTGGGTGGTTTGGAGCCTAGGTCTTCAACTCTGCTCCTGGAAATTCACTGTCCTCCCAAGTTTATTTCCAACTTGTTTTATCACACTTGTCTTTGATGCTCCAAACAATCTTGAAAGCCTTAATTAGCTGCTTCAGGTGTGTTTGATTAGGGTTGGAGCTAAACTCTGCAGGACAGTGGGTCTCCAGGAGTTGAGTTGAAGACTACTTATTTAGAGAACATTCAGCAACTTTCCCAAAATGTCTGCAAAATAATACAATTGAACATTCCCTTTAATGTTGTCCTTAGCGTTCACATATCCAAGAAAAAAACAAAACATTTTTAATTATTTATAAATAATGTTTTCAGAACTTAATGGGAATGTTAGGAAAACTTTCTAAGAACATATATTTGTTATCTGGACTTTAAGTGTTAAGCTAATGCTAATACAATAGATGAAAGTTACTTTTGTTATCACTATTCAGAATGGACCATATAAGCCAATGAGCCATGCAAGAGAGAGACCATAGCTAAAGAAATCTAATAAGGTCATCTGCTTGTTTGACCATGTGTTTTAATATACCTGCTTTACGTGTCTTCAATGTTTTTGAGTCGTCTATTTTTTCCCGTCACACCCTCCTCCTCATGTAAAAAGTGTTTTTTGAGAATGAAAATATCAGTACCGATCTTCTCTTTTTTTTTTCTTGAAACAGAAACATCTACAATCTCGGAGTACGAATAACTCATACTGATGAATTACTCATTCATCAGGTTGATTATAAAGAATAACTGCAATGAAACCAAATACACAGCTGTAATTAAAGAGAAGTATATGTATCAATAATAATGTGACAATCATAGGAGACAAGCACATGCAGCAATTAATTTATATGCTATTTTATACATAACACAGAATGGAAGAGATTTCTCCTGGGATCCATTCAGATGCGGTTCAATTATTATTCCTATACAGAAACAGATACAAGCTAAAATATCGTCTGGGTCAAACATGATTTTCTCCCATCATTTCTCGTTTAGCATTCACTTGTAGGAGAGTGATGGAGAAACGCTCAAACGCAAGTGCCTCATCTTAGCGCAATGATAGGCCTTCAAGCAGTGGTCTCAGGTTCAGTATTGGTCCAAATGATTTGTTCATTATAGCGTATGTGTCTTTCTCTGTCCTCAAGGTTTGAGATCAATTTCCTGTGTGACCGCGATGACAGAATAGCCTTCCATTTCAACCCACGCTTCACTGAGTCAGATATCATCTGCAACTCCTACATGGCCAACCACTGGGGGCAGGAGGAGAGGTGCAACAGCTTCCCCTTCGGGATAGAAGAGCCTTTCCAGGTGATAAAGCATAACGAGCACATTTTTATTGACTAAGTATCATGAGCAACAGGAATTATGTTTGATTATGAGTGAGGATGATTTAGTCAGCATCGACTCCTTGTCTCTCAACAGATTGAAATTGACTCTGACAATGATAACTTCCATGTTTACACTGACGAAACCAAGGTGATGCAGTATAACCACCGTGTGGAAGACCTGAAGACCATCACAAAATTACAAGTGGTCAATGACGTCAATATCTCCTCTTTAGAGATCACCAAAAAACATTTTTATTAAGTGGTGGGCAGAAGGCCAAACAGATGATTCATTTGGAGTGAGCCTTGTGTTTGTTTATGGTGGGTTATTGTTTTTTGCATCTCTGTTTACACACCTTTCAATACTCATAATTATCCTCTTGGGTTAATTATCCTCTGTAAAGGTGTGATTATTGGCATTGACATGCCTTACCTAAACTTCATATTCATATGAATTTGTGAATAAATGGAAGGTTTGAAAAGATTCCTAAAGGACTCATCTGGGTGACTCAGAATTTGTGTTTTTCCACAAAATCAATGTCAAAAATAGATGCTCAGGTCCATCTGAGTCTGCTTATGATGAAACATCCTAAGAAATCAATACTAAAATATGCTCACAAATAAATATGCTTTATTAATACATATGATATGAATATACATTTCATTGAAAAACAACAAAACATCAATAGTCTTGTTCTACTGTGACATCACATGTGTTCTCAAAGAACACAAAATATGTTTTACTTTGTCTTTGCACATAAGCATTTTACTGTAGCATGAAAGTTTAAAATGTTACAAAGCACACATATGACAATTAGTCAAACTAACATAAAACTCTTAGTACTTAAACCAGTCTTCCAATATAAAACGTACTTATAATGAATAAAAATAAGTATACAGCATGTAGAAAGTGTACAAATTACAAATGAACAAAATATGACTAAACTTTCTCTTAAAATAAATAAATACATTCATTTTTATACATCCTGTGATGATAAAGCTGAATTTTCAGCATCATAGTCTTCAGTGTCACATGATTCATCAGAAATCATTCATATATGCTGATTTGCTGCTCACAAAACATTTCTTATTATTATTAACATTGAAATATGTTGAAATATATGTAGATTTTTTTTTCACAATTAACTGATGAATTGAAAGTTGAGAATAGAAAGAATTTTGTAACATCATAAATGTGTTTACTTCCAATAAACAAGTAAAAAATGGAAAAAAATCTTACTGACCCCAAACTTTTGAAGAGTAGTACAGTGATAAGTGGTCACAAATCTTGCTCTAATCAATGATAACGCATCTGTGTTCTCATTTTTTGGCAGAGACTCCCCATGACGTCAACAATTGGTGAGAGTGCTGATGTGTATCCTAACAGCAGGCTGGCTAAACATAGCTCAAACAAAGTGCTTTAACAAAGTACATTACATCATAAGGGCATCACATCATATAATATTACAGCCTAAAAGGCCATTAAAAGCTGATAATAGACTGTATACTTGCAGGTTCCCACTGTAACAACTTACCCTATACAATGTGAGAAAGTAAATGTCTATATAAAGCAAACTTTCTTCAATAGCATTAATGCAGCTAAGACTTCGAGCTGTGCCTATAATGAACTTTAAAAAATAAACCTTCCCAGCGCAATATTAAGTAAAAATCAGTGTCTCCTGTGGCTGTGACTGCATTTGCTTGATGGTGCAGCACTCTGTGGCTTAAGAGCAGTGTGTTATCACAGATTGTTTTATGTTTTCAAAGCAGGGTTTTCTTGTGTGGACGTTTTTTCCACTCATACTCATTAAGTTTGGACCGGTGGATCACACACATACATGCTGATCAATATCATCACTCTGGACTACGCTATTGACTCGAGCTCCATTGATCAAACTGTTTGGTGTGCTTGTTTGTTTTGGTTTTAGGCATGTTTGTGTGTTATTATGTAGGCCTACTTTTTGTTCTAAGTAAGGTGAACATATTATTATTATTATTTAATTGAATGACGCAGCTGGTCATGTGATCTCATGGAAGCACCTATGATGTGGCGACCCCTTACATGTAGAATAAAACAGATTTTTCTTGAACAAAAATGTCATTTGTAGAGTCTTCATTTCCTGCGAATATGCAAAAACCTATTAAAAAGTGCTGTTCCTTTGGTTATGTGTACAACTTTTTTCATTAGCAAAACATTGGCGAGTGCCGCTTTAATTACACAGCCACTACACCTCGGTGTGTGCGGAGCGATGAGGTGAATGAGAAAACTGCTCCCATCACATCAGAGACAAGCAGCAGCTCCGCCAGCAGAGAGTCGTGTGCGCCGCATCCGCAGACGCTCATTTCTTCCCATCAGCTGGAGATTAAGGAGAAGCACATTGAACCCAGTCCTTCCTCTGACTGCACATGACGCACACATATTGTCGGTATGTATTAATATTTCTCAAATTCATTCATTTTGATGCAGTTTAGGCTGTATTGTGCATTCAATAATTACTCTAATGCACGACAGAAGTAAATAAGAAGAAAGTGCCTTAACTTACGGAGACAACCAGAGGAAAATTAGCTTTAAAACAGTTGGATTTTCGACTCAGTACGTTATTCTGTTTAAGCAGCTAGATTTAGAGATTTATTGTGGCTCCAGATCATTAGTTCCTGAGAGTTTGCGTATAGGCACAGTTTAATCTTGCTTGATTTTGAAGAAAAATAAGCATGCAATATTAAAAGACAGAGATATATGTCATATTTATTATTAATCAGTACTAGCCTGTGCTGAGAGTTCATTTTAATTATTTCTGAAGATCAGTAACACAAATGCCTGTTTTCCCTTGTGGTTTTGTTTGTTGGTTACAAATACGTAGCTCAAAACGGTCTGAAATGAGAGTATAATTTTGCTAAATGGTGCCCTTAAGAAGCATCACACAATGTCACACACAATTTATCCTGCTTAAGCAGCTGACTTATTGTGGTTTGCATAATTCACAATGTAATCTAGCTGGACAAATAAGAAGAATGTGGAGAAAAAATGAAAATGTAATATAATGTAAAAGACAAAGTTATTTGTGATATTTATCATTAATCAGGCACTGTATTTTAAGGCTTACAGTTCAGTCAGTGCAATTGCTTGGATTTCTTGTTATCTTGTAATTTAATTTCCTTGCTAATGTGTGTCATGTTTCCGTAGAGGGTGGTTGGCTAAATGATGGATTTCATTACCTTACTGGTTTTGGCTGAAGATGAAGATGCCTTGAGCTTTAGCAATCGACTCTGGGATGTCTGAAGCAGCCTTTGGATTCTAACTACCGCATATCAAAACATCACAAATATCCCCCAAACATTTACGAGAAACAAAAGGAATATGAATTTCACCGCAGGCTTGCTGAAAAAAGAGCATCTGCTCTCAAACGCCTTGCTGTCCTTGAACGCCTCTTTCCCCGGTGCCGAGGACTTCGCGAATGATGTTTTCCTCCACCAGAGTGGAGAGCTGGAGAGACTGCTGCTGCTGACAATCAAAGAGCCCACCACTATCGCTCTCACCGTCATGTATTCATTATCATTTGTGGTGGGCTTCATTGGAAATCTCATGGCCATTCGAATGCTCACCTGCCAGAAGAATAAGAGGATGCAGAGCATCAGTGCCACCCAGAGTTTACTCATCAACTTGGCAGTGTGTGATCTGATGGTGGTTTGCATTTGCATGCCCATCACGCTCGGCCACACCATTTACACTGCATGGGTGTACGGAGACCTCCTGTGTCGGGCCGTTCCCTTCATCCAGGCTGTGTCCGTGTCGGCAAGTGTCCTCAGCCTGACCGTCATCAGCATCAACCGATACTACAGCGTTCACAGCCCATTCAATTCCCTCTCGTACTTCACCCAGAAGAAGATCTACATCACCATCGTGTGCGTTTGGATCCTGTCCTCAGCCATTTGCGCACCTTTACTCTTCATGATCAAGCTGGACGAGATCCACTTAATCGACATCGCCGTGCCAATCTGCAGAGAGCTTTGGCCACAGGCGAGACTCAAGCAGGTCTACAACGTGCTCCTCTTCGTAGCTCTCTACTGCATCCCCGTAACCTTCAACCTCATCATCAGTTTTCTGACGGGAAGGAAGCTCTGGAAGGCTTCTCATCATTTTGACGATTTTGATCCACGAAGCCATGCCATGCACGCTTCACATCTGAAGATGCGCAAGAAGATCGCCAAGGTGGTGGTCACTTTGGTCCTCTTATTCGCCGTCTCCTGGCTCCCGCTTTACGTTGCAGACATCCTGATTGACCGCGAGATTCATCCACCTCACTGGGTTCTGCAGAGTCGTCCTTTTGCGCAGTGGCTGGGCCTCACGAACTCCAGCCTCAATCCCATCTGCTATTGTTTCTTGGGCGATTTGTACCGCTCTGCCAGAGCAGTCAGGTCCAGGTATCATCAGAGAATGCTTTCCGTCCTTAGATCCTCCAGCTCTTTTAAACTGTCCAGTTTGCTTTCTCTCAAAAAGCAGAAATCTGGCCGGCGACAGGGTGCCGTGAGCCAGGTGTCGGTGGAGACTCTTTCTGATTGGTGTTCCAACAACAGCCAAATGGTGTCTCTCCAAAGCCTCTCAGAGAAGATAATGTCTACAAGCAATCCTGAGTTATCAAACTTGTAGTCAGGGTGCATAGTACCTAAAAGGACGCAGGGCACTTATAATTTGCTTTGTAGTACTGTCAAAAAGCATGTGATTCTGATGATTTGATGCAACATCAGCATAGTTTGTATTCATAACTAACTGTCCACAGTTACATTGTATCGTTGCATATATTGTACATGAATAAAAGTTGCTTGATGTAAAGTGGGACTTCCTGTAAATAAAGGACGGTTTTGTATAGACATCACTGACACAGATTGCACATATATGCCCAATTAAGGCCTGTTCACACCAAGACAAATGTTTGAATGCGAAAATTCAGTGCGATAAATATTTTAATTTGAATGAACAGCTGTTCAGACCAACATGAACATTCGTATGCCGTCAATGCGATGGAATTTTTTTTACGTGGAGATGTTCTAATCTCTTTTCAGTTGGACAGTGAAGAAATGAGATTCTCCCGGCCAACCAATGAGATTCTCACTTTTGGTCACATGCCCAGAGCCACTGCTGTTATATGAAACTACTACATTTGTCTCTCTACTCTTGTATTTGGTGTTGTTTGATAAACACCATAGTGAATACAAAAATCTGAACAGCAGTTTGAAAATATGTACTTTTGACTTTTATTCTTCATGTGTCGGAAATGGAAAGTTGAGCAGCACTGCTTTGTGTAGTGAAGAAACCAAGGTATTTACGTTTTTTTTTCTATAAGCACCATCTACTGTTAGTGAATTTGCCTGTCTGCTGTTTTTTTGTTTTTTTTACTCATTGGTCTGAACAGACAAATCACATGCAAAAAAACCCCCAAATTTTCTTATAGAACAGTTGTGGACAGGCCTGTACTTGGCACCACAAAGCAGGAGAGGTGTATTTTAAATCTGGAGTTTTCAAACTGGGGGCCCCACAAAGGCTCCACAGAATAAAAGATTTTACATAATATATTATTTAATTATAATAATTTATCATATTAATTAAACATGTTTAACACAATACTCAAACACATTTACTGAATGGGATATTATTAGTTTCATTCTGCTTTCTACTGACAGCCAAGTTTAAGAGACAAATTTGCATCAAGTTTTGTGAAAATATATATTTATTTCAAAGTAGCCATCTTTCTTTCCTTATGATTTACATATGTTAAATGCTAGTTTATATTTGTATCTTTCTGAAGAGTTTCTCTTTGCCACCATTGCCTTTAACGTAAAGCCATTAAGGCAAAATTAGCGAATGTATAAAGCTGCTATGAAAAATATTATTTATTGTGAAAAGCACTTCTGTAATTGGAAATAAAAATAAACAAAAATAAAGTTATGCATCTAACTGTACTTTAATAGTGGTTAAAAAAGAAACTACTCTGTAAACTTAAGTGAAGTGAATATCTTCTAGATATTTAATTATTTGCTTTGGCTTTAGTGCAATGACAATATAAAAGTCAGTTATTTCTATATGCAAAAATAAAGTTATGCATCTAACTGTACTTTAATAGTGGTTAAAAAAGAAACTACTCTGTAAACTTAAGTGAATATCTTCTAGATATTTAATTATTTGCTTTGGCTTTAGTGCAATGACAATATAAAAGTCAGTTATTTCTATATTCTATTCATTATTCTATTATCTGTTATTTCACACATTTAATGTGTTTCTCATACAGTGTAAATATGTCAATGTATGAATACATGCCATTATGTTTAAGGAAAGGATACCCTCACAATCATCATATCGGGGTCCTTGACTTAAAAGGTTTAAAAACCCCTGTTTTAAATTATGGTGGATGAAAAAAACTTTAGTTATTGTACAGTGTTTTCAATCGATTCTCCATTCTATCTCTATAATCATATAAACGTACATTTGCATTCACAAAAAAATTCCTACTTGTTCAAGAGTTTCAAGCGTGCATGAATAAAATGAAGGTCAGACAGAATGTAAAGGTTCTAAATGCCATGTGAAGATTCATAGCAATTCCATGTCATTAAATGTACTGTGCTTGATTGTGAATTATTACTTGCCTTCTTCAATAAAAACCAACGTGAATAGAATCAGATATATTTCACCAAGTAGAGCTGCCCTTAGATCTTTTGGTATGAATAGATCTACACACCAAAGTATATAAGAATATATCAATCATCAATGAAAAATCTACATAACAGAATACTTAGGACTATGTGATATTTCAGTTTTTCTTTTTTAATAAATCTGCAAAAATGTCAACAATTCTGTGTTTTTCTGTCAATATGGGGTGCTGTGTGTACATTAATGAGGAAAAAAAATTAACTTAAATGATTTTAGCAAATGGCTGCAATATAACAAAGAGTGAAAAATTTAAGGGGGTCTGAATACTTTCCGTACCCACTGTATATATATATATGATAAAAAATGTCATATTTTGTTGACATATCAATGACATTGTAGGAACACTACAATAACAGTAATAAAAGCGTTTACATGAAGCCATATATATTACATGAATCCTCTTCTCAGCAGGAGCTCCATCTTTATCTTCCACAGACATGTGATCACCAACACTAGCACTGCCCTTCATATTTATGTTAATTCTGATTAGCAACTGTCACATCACCCAATATGCAGAATGGGGCTTGATTAGCCTATAAGTATTTCACTTTAGTAAGAATGAGCGACTACTGAGAGCAGATATTGGAAGCTGATGAATAGTAATTATGTTCAGGAGAGATGCCGACTGCAGTAGTTATTAGCCTGAGCTCAGTAGCACGTCTTTCACAGGAACGGGGTGTAATAGAAAACACAAGGAGCACTTCTTGAATAAAAGGGAAAAAAACTGAATCAATGAATGTCTTAGAGAGATGGCAGATGTTATCATCCCTCAGATGCACTGGCATTATAAGCTTACAATCTGAGACTTTCTGTATAAAGTGATATTTTATATTTACCATAAAGAATATTCAGAATCAAATCGTTGCTTTCATCAAACTTTACTAAATCTGACAAATTAATTGCTTTGTTATTTTAGTATAATTCAAAAACAAACAAATTAAATTTGTAGTCCAAGTCTACACTGAGATCCATTGTCATGGTTTTAATGAAGAGTTACAAAACAAAAAGTACAGGTTAATGTTTTAATCTTAACTAATATACCACAAGTTTATTGAATGTCTTGCAGGTTTTTTTTTTTCTTCATTGAAAAATAAAATGTTTAAAATGAAGAAATAGTTAGGACATAAAACGAATTCAGAATTTAATATTCCAGATCACTAATGAAAGAAGCATATGTGTGACACTGATTGTGTTACTCTTTGTTCAGACGGTCTTCCACTGAAGCTCACAATGCTCTATGGATCATCTCAAATCATGCTGGAGAACATCATCTCTAGGTTTGCTCATCAAGTAACAAATCAAGAGAGTCATGCTATAAATATCAAATATCAGATTAGTCTGTTCTGTGTTATTGTTGTGTATTAAAAGAGTGCAATTGCCAATTACACAGCAAATTCTCCAGTCTCTTGTGCTGTCCAACCCAGCCTGTGCTGCGTTTGTTTATCTCTTTTCAATTATGTAGTCAACTAATTCTATTCACCCAATCTTGGCATGGCTCAAATGAAACTCAATCAGGCATTTCAAATTCATTTTCTGCACCCTTTATATTTAAGAACATTATATTCCAAATCTGCTTAAAGTATAAATATATCTACTTAAAAGTAAAAGTGTTACAACCACTGATCTATATATAATGACTGGAATATGGCGGCACGGCGGCTTCACTTTCATGATGTCATGAGCAATCCAGTTCTCTATTATAGATCAGTGGTTACAACCCACTACACACACTATATACACATACAACACACTATACGTGTGTGAGTTTTGAAAGCATTTAAAAAAAACAACCTTGAGGGGGTCAACTCCTGTCATGTCAGTGGGCTCTGGTCTGTCACTGAACAGATCATTTCAAAGCCCTGTGTATTAATAAGGAGTTGATTCCCCCAACTGCTTCTACTTGGACATTCTCCACTAGATGTCGGAACATGGCTACAGGGATTTGCTCTCATCAGTGCACTGATGTTGGCTGATTGAGGCTGGCCCGCTGTCGTTACAATAATTCATTCCTAAGGCCTGGGCTTTGTGCAGACCAATAAAAGTTCCTCCAAGATAAGTTAAATTATTGTGCAATATTTTTTATAATGTTACAACCCACTCCACCAACTATTATTTTAGTACGCAATTCAGGAATAACAACTTTAATCTGTAGCAAATGAATATGGGAACAGTATATGAAAATTAAAGATAAATAGTGCAAAAAACGTGTATAAATACTAACATTCAAAAGTTTGAGTAAGATTATTTAATGTTTTTTGAAAATCTCTTATGCCTTTGAAAGCTGCATTTATTTGATTAAAATTCAGTAAAATAGTGATGTTGTGAAATATTTTAGTGTAAAAGTTAGACTTTTCAAATTTGTAAATAAAACAGATTATTGAAGTAGTTTTTACAAGAACTGAATTTAATTTTAATTAAGAATTTCACATTTAATTCAATGTTTTCTTTGTAATTATTTGTGAAATGTAGCCATTCCTGAGTGAAATTTGTTTCAAAGTAAACTCTACATCATTTTTTCACTGTACACTCTCAGAAATAAAGGTACAACAGCTGTCACTGGGGCGGTACCTTTTCAAAAGGTACACTTTTGTAACTATTAGGTTCTAATATGTACACTTTAAGTACCAATATGTACCTTTAAGGTACCAAAATGGACCCTTTAGGTTCAAATAAGTACCTTTTGAAAAGGTACCACCCCAGTGACAGCTGCTGTACCTTTATTTCTGAGAGTGTACAGTTTAAAAGAACTGTTTTCCATTTTAAAATATATTTTATTCCTGTGATGGCGAAGCTGAATTTTCAGCAGCTATTACTCCAGTATATTTAGTATCACGTGATCCTTGAAAAGTCATTTTAATATCATGATTTGCTGCTCAAGAAACAATTCTTATTATTATCAATGTTGAAAACAGCTGTGCTGTTTAATATTTTTGTGGAAACCATGACACATTTTTTGGGGGATTCTTTATTGAATAGAAGTATACACCTCTGTTGAATGAAAGTATTAAGTCTTTCTTTAAAAAAAACACTAACCGTATGAACGCTAGTGGGTAAGGTTATAACCATTTGCAGTCTCCTCTATACAGCATTCAATCAACAAAATGGGATCATAAAAAAAACACATTGGGAAGCTTTCAGTGGCAGTAATATCTCAAATACCTAACCCCTAAACATATATTTAATTATTTAAAAAAAAAAAAAGTTAACATCATTATGATGTTTTCAGATGTCTACAAACTGCATAAGAGTTTCAAGGCCATTATGTACTTAAAGTAAAATACATCAAGCTGCTTTCTTAGAAATGGTAT